GGGGAGAGCCTCTCCGCTATGCGGGAGACTGTGACAAAGCTCACATCCGAGCTAGAAGCGTCCAAGGAAAGAGAAAAGCTTAGAGATGCTCAGTATATTGGCGTGGTCGCTCAGTGCCAGAGCATGCAAGAGCAGATCAAAAATCTCCTAGCTGGATCTTTTTCAATTCCCCGGTCTCGACCATCATCGCCAGAGGCTGCCCGTCCCCGTGCTCATTCGTCCCGTCCTCCAAGTGGTCGTTCCTCCCGTCCTCCCCGTGATCATTCTTCCCGTCATCGACAAGTAGACCATTCTCAATACCGTGATGATGATGAAACTTCATCAGACGGTGATGATAATGATATACCAAACAATAAATGAATTTTAGACAATTTGAACTAGACAAATACAATTTGTTTTCCATTGGGTTGTAATAAGAGTTAACTTAGTTTGGTAGTTCTATTGAAATTTACACTTTCTTGGTTTTAATGTAGCTTTTAATGTTGTTTTTGTGTTGTTGTTGTTGTTGTTGTTGTTGTTGGGTTGTTGTTTGGTATTGTTATTGGAATTGTTGTTTGAATTGTTGTTGTTGTTGCTTGTTAGGGTTTTGGTATGACTGGCAGGTGGTGTAGCTGCCAAAACAGGCAGTTTCTGCCAAAATAATACACAGAAAAGCGACCAAAGTTGGTCTCTATTTGGTCGCTTTTCATGTTAAAAAAAATAATTTTCTGGAGAATAGCGACCAACGTTGGTCGCTATTTACCCAGATTTCTACAAAAAGCGACCAAACTTGGTCGCTATTTCATTAAAAAAATAAAATTTCTGGTGATATAGCGACCAAAGTTGGACGCTAATATTTAAAAAATAAATTAAATTCATGTATTTAGGGACCAAAGTTGGTCGCTAGTTTAATAAAATAAATAAATAATTGAATAAAAAAGCGACCAACATTGGTCTCTAGTTTCCAGATTTTAAAATATAATATTTGGATTAGAGACCAAAGTTGGTCGCTTTTTAATGATTAATAATAAATAAATAAAAAACGTATTTTATATTTAGAGACCAAGTTTGGTCGCCAAATTTATATTATTAAATTAATAAAGCGACCAAAGTTGGTCTCTATAGTCAATATCCAGAAAAATTGGTCCATTTAGCTTAGAGACCAAAGTTGGTCGCTAAACTTTGGTCCCTAAATAAAAGGGACCATCAATATAGCTATCAGACCCTTTTGGTCGCTTTTTAGCCCAATAGTGACCAACTCTGGTCGCTTTTTCCCGGATTTATAGTAGTGATGGCTGAGGAGTCGGGAATCAAAGTAACACAAAATATAATTTGAGGAACCAAAGGTAATGTGGAAAAAATGGGAAAATAGTTATACCTATAGCATATGTCTGGCATGCGCTATATCCTCATGACCAAACATCCCAACCAAGTTTGACTAGGTAATCTGTATGCCTACCATGCGCTATACCTTTCCATCCTTCGTAATCGGATTCCGCTAAGCTTGTATTTGCAAAAGTTGAAATATTACCTATGGCTAAACAGATTATGTGTATCTGCAAATACACATACTCAAATTACTATTCAAAAATACTAAATTTAGTATTTGCAAGTAAAGAAATACTATGTTTAATTGTTTATGCTCAAAAGGACCGAATATTATGCACTTATTAGTGATTTTTGAAGTGTTTAAAACTTGCACCATTCCAATTTGATACACTCTCTTCATTTCAATTAATGTGTTTTACTCTTTTTTCATCTGTTACAAAAATTAAATTTTTGTATTTCGTAAGTTCTTAACTTTTGCATTTCCATCTTATCATTTTAACACTACTCCCTTATAAGAAAAGAATGTCATAACATGTCTAAGAACATAAGATTCAGAAAGTATTTTGTAATATGTTATACACACCTTGGTTAAAGAGCATAAAATCCAAAAAAGTTCTTTATATTTTTAAATTTCACGTTCAATTAAATTAAAACACATAAATAAAATAGGAGTACTAAACATGTATCAAAAGTATAGAGCACTACAGAGAGAGAGATTATGGTGACTCGTTGCTAGTCCTATGTTTAATGCAGGAGCGAAGAAAATACGCGTTCGGAACCCAATTGTGATCTTTTTGGACAAGTGTGACATAAATATATGTAAAACAAAAAAGAATGACCATTCTATATATAACGCAGTTTTAAACTGTGCTATACTGCGCTATACATATAAGTGTTGGGTGGTGCAATGGTTAAATGATAGCTGAGAAGTTAGCTTTGGCCTTGAGGTGTTGGGTTCGAATCCCTACACAAGCATTCCTTTGACGGCCAGCACCTCAAGGCCAAAACTAACTTCTCAGCTATCATTTAATCATTGTACCACCCAGCACTTATATGTATAACGCGGTTATTAAAGACGTTATACATGCAATTTTAAACCGCGCTATATTTTGATGGCCAAAACACCGTTAAAGTATAACGCGGTGTAAAACCGTATTATATATAGAATGGTCACTCTTTTTTTTTTACACATATTTATGTCACACTTGTCAAAAAAGACCGCAATTGGGTTCAGACCCATCCAGTAAGACCAAATCACGGAATGGTGCAAACATTGGTCTGATATTTGTTTTTGTTTTCACTATCGTTTTCTTATAATTTCAGCCTGTCTTTGTTTCAGAACTACACACAGATATATGCCAAACAAACCCGGCAAGCATGAGGCCTGTCCCTCTTGCTTAATCCCAGAAATTGTATAACTCATCACTCATCTGATGTGATCTCAACTCACTCTGACTTGTAATTTTATGCAATTGTCGCTTTCACTGCTGTAGTCTAATGAAACCATTTGGAAAGGAGTGACTTCAGTCCACTGCCTCACCTTTTTCTATTGCCTTATTTGTGTAAGAATATACTCCATATGATATGCTTTCTGGAGCATTCAATTGTTTTCTGCCATTTTATAGAGATAAGTATATATTGTAAATTTAAACCCTCTATTCTAGTGAAAATCCTAGGTCACTTATATTCATTACCCCTATATTTGAAAATCAATTAATTCCTCTAAATCAGTCTAGATATCCCTATTTTATGCAAGATTTTTCATTGTCTGGTTGTTTAAGTATTTGATCTTGAGATATAAGGAGATTTATCCTAATTAACATGAAACAATTAAAATAAAACTGTGTTTCTTTTTATTTCTCAATTACTTTACAAATGCAAATTATATTTAGAACGACAACCTAAAAGTGGATACAGGTAATAAAAAAGCCACATTAAGACCTAGTCCGTAAACTCTCCGGCCATCAGCATGTGGCAAAATCTCAAAAAAAGAAAAAAAAAAAACAAACAAATTCAAACTAAATGCTAGGTGTGCCTCTATCCTTCTCCACTTAAATACTAAGGATTCAAATCCATGACTTAAATACTAAGGATTCAAATCCATGACGTGGGTCTAACTCACACATTATATGTTGTGCTCTTACCACTAGATCAAAGCCCTATAACCGATGGCATCAAGGTGCGATATTTCTTAGTTAAGTTTAACTCGATTTTTATGGTTTAAGCTCAAAAGTGTCTACTTTTGGCATAACGCCAGGATTCAAATCCACGACGCGTGTCTAACTCACTCATCATATATTGCGCTCTTACCACTAAATCAAAGCCCTATAACCTTGGGCATTGAGATGTGATATTTCTCAGTTAAGTTTAACTCGAATTTTTAGGGGAACCGTTAGTTTTATGGTTTAAAATCAGAAGTGTCTTCTTTTTGGCATAACTTAAGGACTAGTTATGTTTAGCAGTACATATTAAGAACCAAAACCACTTTGATCATTTTCTCCGTCCCTGAAAGTCTATCTCAGTGATCATTGATCCATAAGACTCAAGTCGGCAACTCTAGTATTATTATCGTTGTGAGTTTAATTGGATTAAGCTGGAACTAGAGAAGTTAAAGTAAGAGGTCTGCATTGATAACAAAAGCTATCAAACACAAACTAGCTTCCCTATTACAGAGATGACAGATGTAAATCTCAAGGCATCATTTTCTTGGCTTGATATTAGCTTGCATTGGATGAAGTTTATGAGTAGTAAGACCCATTGTTGCAACATTTTCTTGTTCCCCATCTTTTAGACTCCATTCAAACTCTTGTATCAATCTAGCAATAGTTGTGCAAGTAATTGTCATTGCTTGAAGAGCACCAGCACATACCCTTTTTCCACCTCCAAATGCCATCGTCTTCTGTAATTCCATTGGATCATACTTTCCATCAAGAAATCTCTCAGGCTTCCACTCTTCCGGACTCTCCCACACTCTATTGTCCCTATTGCAACCGTATATATTTATAGCGATCTGCATATACAATGTGTATAAATAATTTAGATTATCTGATAATAAGAAATGCAAGGTCAGGCTGCGTACAATAGACCCTTATGGTCGAGCCCTTCCCCGCGCATAGCGGAAGCTTAGTGCACCTGGCTGGCTGCCCTTTGCTGCCCTTTATCTGATAATAAAAAGGAAAAATTCACAAGTACTATGAAAAGGCTAATTACCTCAGCTCCTTTAGGAACATGGTACCCTCCTAGCTGTGTGTCTTCGTGGACGTATCTTAAAGGAACTATAGGTACAGGACTATGTTTTCTCAAGGTTTCGTGAAAAACAGCACATAGGTACGGAAGTTGGCAAAGTTTGTCTTCTGTGATCTTGTTAGATCCACAAACATTTTGTATTTCCAAAAAGAGTTGTTCCTATGTGATTAACAGTCATGAGATACAACTAACTTTGGAGAAAAACAAGGCAGGAATAAGAAAAATGGCGAAACTATGATACTACCTGCCGTTTTGGATCTTTGGCCAATTCATACATAGCCCATTCTGTGCTCACTACTGTGGTGTCTGATGATTCAATAATTGCCTCCCAAAGCAACATTAGGATTTGCTTCTCTGTTAATGTATTGGCTTCAGACAACAAGTAGTCAATATAACTGTTCAGTTCCTGTATATACATTCCGCCGATTTAGAAAATTAGCAAAGGACCAAAACATAATTACTGGAGTGGTATATTTATATGCTTAAAAGGAAGAGCAAGATCACCTCTCCTGAATTAATACGTTTTCGTTGCTCCATAATTAGGGCCTTCATCACGGCTTCCCTGCGCAGATGTTTTCGCTGAATTCTGTTCTCAAAGCTTTTATTAGGAACCCATTTTAGATAGGGGAAGAAATCTCTCCAGTCCACATCAATCGCACCCTCCATTATATCAAGTACTAAGGTCTTCAGTACGTCCTCTCTTGGCAATGTGGCATCGAGTTCCTCCACATAAATAGACTCGATATCCTTTCCCAAAGCCTGCAAATAAAGTTAAAAGTTTCAAATAATTGAGCAGATTAAAAGAATTGCCAAAACCACAAATTAGTAGTGAAACCGAGTTTGAAAAACTCACTTGTTTCATTGCCAAACCAAAAAGTTCTGACTGGAATATCTTCCTGAGATTTACTGCTTCATGAGGATACTTCCTAACCAAATCATGCAGTTGCTTAGACACATTTTCTATNGCTACATTGTGGATGCTACTGAATGAGAAGGACGGATCTTCAATTTATAGAACTCCAAACTTTTTCCTACAAGAAAAAGGACTAGCCAAATACAGGAGAATTATAATTACCTTAATTGGGTTTTCCTCTTTGTAGAAGGAAATTATAATTCTCCTATATTTGGCTAGTCCTTTTTCTTGTAGGAAAAGGTTTGGAGTTCTATAAATTGAAGATTCGTCCTTCTCATTCAGTAGCATCCACAATGTAGCCATAGAGGGTTTGAGAGTCGTGGTTAGGGGGAGAACTTTATGGGACAAGTGTTAGTGTGTCACTTGTGTTTGCCTCTTCGTGAGGTTGTTCTCTCGATATTTTGTACTCTCTTTTTATTATAGTGGATTGCTCATCTCCGTTGTGGACGTAGGTCAGTTGACTGAACCACGTTAAATGTTTGTGTCTCTTTTGATATATTTCTCTTGTTGTATGATTTATCGTCGTTCAAGGTTTGTTTTGCTAGATTCTGCATGATACCTGATTTTTCGGTCCTAACAAGTGGTATCAGAGCGAGGTTCAAGATAGGTTCATCTTGGCGGGTTCAGTTCTAACCGCAACATATTTGACGATAATCGTGATTTTTGTCTGAGAAATTTGACCAGTGTGCTACGCACATAGAAACAAACTTTGTGGTGGAGATTTGGAGATGCAACCTGTTGAAGGCTATGTGAAGAAGGTGGATCAAGTTTATTTTGTCAGAAAATTCCGGCCAAGGGGGAGAATTGTTAGGTGTTTGCCATAAATTTTTTTCCCATAGTTACAAAACCCTCAGGTTGCTCCATATAAATCTCCTCATCTAAATCACCATGAAGAAAAGCAGTCTTGACATCCATCTGCTCAACCTCTAAATCTAGACTTGCAGCTAAGAGAAGACATCTTCACAACAGGGGAAAAAATTTCATCAAAATCAACTCCCTTCTTCTGGCCAAAACCTTTAACAACTAACCTCGCCTTGTATCTAGGCGCAGAGGTATGATTATCTTGCTTTATTCTGAATATCCATTTGTTAGATAAAACTCGCATACCTTTCGGCAATTTCACTAACTCATATGTGTCATTCTCATGGAGTGACTTCATCTCATCTTCCATCACTTCGATCCACTGATCTTTGTGCGTATCTTGCATGGCTTCATCATAATTTTCAGGTTCTCCCATGTCAATCAAAAGTACATACTCATCAGGAGGATAGCGCATGGATTTTTGCTTCTCCCTTGTAGATCTTCTAAGAGAGGTTTCAGGAGCATTCGAAGTAGTTACCTGTGCAGGAATTGGTTGTTGATCAACCACAACTTCATCAAATGGAGCATCCATAACATCTACACCATGATGATCATTTTGATCTTGATCACTATCTCTATCATTGTCTTGGGTTCCTTCATGTGCAATACATGCCTTAGCAATTGAAACTGGATCAATATCAACTAAGCTCTCATTACTCTGAGAATCTATCTTCTCAGCTTTGTCAATATCTTCAATAGTTTGGTCTTCAAAGAATATTGCATCACGACTTCTAATAATTTTATTGTCAACTGGATCATAAAAACGATACCCAAACTCATCTTGACCATAACCGATAAAGATGCACTGCTTAGTTTTGACATCCAGTTTCGATCTCTCATCTTTAGGAACATGCACACAAGCTTTACACCCAAAAACTCTCAGGTGATCATAAGAAACATCTTTGGCAAACCAAACTCTGTCTGGGACATCACCATCCAAAGCAACTGCAGGAGACAAATTGATAACATAGGCAACAGTGTTAAGTGCTTCCGCCCAAAATGTATTTGGAAGTTTAGCCTCTGAAAGTAAGCATCTAACTCTCTCAACTAGAGTTCTATTCATCCTCTCTGCCAAACCATTCAATTGAGGTGTCTTGGGCGGAGTTTTCTGATGACGAATTCCTTTTTCCTTGCAATAGTTATCAAAGGGACCACAATATTCACCACCATTGTCAGTACGAATACATTTTAATTTCTTCCCCGTCTGTCTCTCAGCTAAGGCCTGAAATTCCTTAAACACGCTAAGTGCTTGATCTTTAGATTTCAAAGGATACACCCAGAGCTTACGAGAATGATCATCAATGAAGGTCACAAAGTAAAGTGCACCACCTTTTGACTTTACTTTAAAAGGACCACACAAACCAGAGTGTACTAGCTCCAATAAATCGGGCTTTCTTGAGGGAGGATGGCTATGAAAGGAAACCCTTTTCTGTTTGCCAGGTAAACAATGTATGCACATTTTCAACTTTGCTTGTTTCACTCCAGAAAGCAAACTTTTCTTGGCCAAACACGTAATCCCCCTCTCACTCATATGACTCAATCTTCGATGCCACAATTCTGACAAAGTATCACTTTCCACCAGATTTATCGAGTCATTAAGAATAGAGCCCTGTGTCACATATAAATAACCAGACTTGACTCATCGAGCCACTACTAACGAGCCCTTGGTGAGCTTCCATTGGCCATTAAAGAGGGCATTATGGTAACCTTCATCGTCTAATCTTCCTGCGGAGATCAAATTGAAAGGAAAGTCTGGAGCATGCTTGACATCTTGAAGAACTAACGTTGAACCATTATTAGTTTTCAAACAAACTGTGCCAACACCAAACACCTTAACTTCACTGGCATTGCCCATTTTTAACACTCCAGAATCAACAGGAGTATAAGATGAGAAAAAGTTTTTCTTGGTATGACACGTGAGGTAGCTCCAGAATCTACTATTCAGCTCGTCTCATGGGATATCAAATTGATGACATTTTCATCATAAGCAAAAAGAAGATCATCTCGAACAATAGCAACAACATTGATCTCGTTATTTTCAGCTTTCTTTCCTTCTCTAGTGTCTTGATTCAACTTACGGCAAAACCTTTTGATGTGTCCTTTCTTGCCACAGTGGTTGCATGTTATATTATAGTATTTGGACCTTGACTTACTTCTACTTTTACCTCTATTCCTTGAGCCTCTTGTTCTATGTCTCCCCCGGTCTTCAGTAACCAAGATATCTGCTTGTGAGGACGAACCCTGAGATTTTCTCCTTACTTCCTCGTTCAACACACCACTCTTGGCATATTCCATGGTCACCTTACCTCCAGGAGCTGAATTTGTCAAAGAAACACGAAGAGCTTCCCAAGAGTCTGACAGAGTATTAAGAAGCCAAAGTCCTTGTATCTCATCATCAAAATTAACTCCCATTCCAGATAGCTGATCAAGGGCGCCCTGAAAATCATTTATGTGATCAAGGATAGGGCTGTCTTCCTTGTATTTAAAGGTCATCAATTGTTTTAGCAGAAACAATTTGTTGTTCCCGGTTTTTGAAACATAAAAAGTCTCTAGCTTTTCCCATAATGATCTCGCATGTATCTCGTTCACAATATGGTTGCGAACATTATCTTCAACCAATTGTCGTATATATCCACATACTTGTTGGTGCTCGAAATCCCAATCTTCATCGAATATACTCTCGGGTTTATGAACTGAAAAAACGGGTAGATGCATCTTCTTCACGAACAACAAGTCTTTTCTCTTGCTTCTCCAAACATTATAATTTCTCCCATTTAAACATACCATCTTGCTCATATTCACCTTCATTCCGTAACAACCCGGATAAATAACCAAGGTTTTGATACCACTGTTATGACGAGGAAGAGGCAAATCCGAAAATAAAGAAGATAAAGAACACCAAATTTTAACGTGGAAAACCCTTCAAATCGAAGGTAAAAATCACGAGATCATAAAGAACCAAACACTCCACTTTTCATTCTAAGACCAAACATATAAATAGAAAGTATCATTGGATAAGAATGGTCGTGAAAGAGAAATTATTTGAGGTTGAGAAGATACACACTGATGAAAATCCTTCGGATATGCTGACAAGGGCGGTGGTTGCAGATAAACATGAATTTTGTAGAAATTTGGCAGGCATGAAGCCTGTCAATAGTTCCTCTACTTATAGACAGGCCCCTTGGCTGGAGGGGGAGTTTGTTGGGAACATGCCCATGTTGTCCAGCCAAAGGCCCAATGGCCTAATCCTATTCTCTTTTGGTTTCCATTCCTATTTGGAATTAGAGTCAGTTTATTCCTATTTTGAGTGGGTTTTGGCTTTAAGAGAAAACACCAATCATGATCTATAAATAGGACAACCTTGGAGAATTATTCTATGCTCATTGATACAAGTCTTTGAAAAACTTAAGCACATAAGAGTGGTTTTTGAGAGAGCTTTCGTCAAGAGAGAAGAGAGAGAAAAATATTTGTTTTGCTGCAAATTTTTATTCCGACCAGCCAACTTCAAATCACATTTTCCGATTCGTTAACCGTTGGATCGGGATGAAAATTTGACTGAATGTTCATAACATCTTGGTCTTTGATTTGAACGGTGGAGATCGGATTTGGAGGCTCGTAACATCTGATTTAGAGCCTCGAACAACAACTTCGTTTTTGTGGATTATACTCTTTCTTCAATTGATTAGTTGTTACTCTTGTTACAGTTGTTGCTCCGTGTTTGGCACTTGTTGTGTATCCAATTTGAAGAACTTTTGTAACCCTCTTATTGTTATAGTAGAGCTTTTTGGATCTTTGTGATCTCGTGGTTTTTACCTTCGATTTGAAGGGTTTTCCACGTTAAAATTTGGTGTTCTTTATCTTCTTTATTTTCGGGTTTGCCTCTTCCTCGTCATAACAATACCATGAATATTATGATACTCCGTGTTTTATCTCAAGCTCTCCTCTTGCAAGGAAACTGGTGTACTTACTTTTAAGCTCTGTGCAATAATGTGTGATTAGTTGTCTAACCTCAACATTAGTTTAGAAGGATCTTCCCATTCTTTGTATTTTCTCCGATATTATCAGAAACTTATAAAGCCTCAACCATCTGTATAGTGAAAAATGGAATTTTTGCTGATACATGATCAATATATACCACGAATGAGGTGGTACACGACACTCTTTTGTCATATTTAGTATAGTGACTTAGACCACAACACAAGAAGCTTTTCCAATAGAACAGTTGAGGACTTGAGGCCTTTCCAGAGACCAATCAACATATAATCCAGGGATATATATAAACCAAATATGCAAATAGCAGTTGTCTAAACCACCAACTACTTCACCTTCATAGTATGGCCTAGTCTTTACAAAGAGGAACTAGGGAATGCATTCCCTTTAGCAACTATCTAGAGGTTGTGGATGCTTACTTTATGTTCGATCATATAGGTAAGCAGATTCTAATATCCTAATTCAGTGAGACTGGATTGAAGCTTTTCTAATTCTAACTACTTATTAGAAAAGAAGCATGTCCAAGTCCAGCTGAATTGTGCGGTCTGAAGGACCAAGTTTATCTGTCTATATTTCTCCGTCAGTCACTCTCCTCTTTCTGCTTAACATTTTAATTTACACTATATTAATAAGTTAGGGTTCAAACTGCCTTTATTTTTGGATTAATACAGTAAAGAGGTTTGAGAGTGGCTATTTCGATTACCTCCTTGGCAAGTTCATTAGTATTGAGGACAACAATTGTATTGGCGCCGGTTTTGATGGAATAGATAGGTCCATAGGTTTCAGCCCAATTTGTAAATGTCTTGTGGGGTTTTTTCTCAGTAAGCTGCAGTAAATTCCCAATCACTGGTAACCCTGGAACCTCTGCACCAAATTCACACATATTTCTCATCAGCATTTACCTATCTACATGTTATATATGTTACAGCTTACTCTGTTATACATATTGTATCATTTAACTTCAATCCATATAATCAGAGGCAGATGCAGCCTTTGTACAATGGATTCAACTGATCCTAGAATTTTCGACACGGAACATAGATATAAAACATCACTAAAACTTCAACAAATATCAAATTAAGAACCCATAATTTTAAAAGTACAATAAGTTAGTCTAAGAAGCTTAAAGATTGAACATATTAAGCTCCCGTTTGGTCATAGATTGTGACAACTTTTTTTCATTTTTTTATTGGAAAACATTGCTTGTTCACGGAATATGATCAGTTTTTGAAAAAATATTGATTTTTTTTTCAAGTTCCCAAATCCGGTTAAGGGCAGTTTTTGGGAGAATTTTTTCTTACGCTCACAAAACTTAACATTTTTTCAAATAAAATGCATGTTCAAACACAATTTCTAACTTCCAAAAATTATTTTTTAACACAAACTTCAAAAACTCTTTTTTCAAGTTTTAACCAAATCTATGTCCAACGCTAGCTAAATTTAAATCTTGGATTCGCATTTGTAGATAACAGAATGAAATGAAATTGATCACACAAGATTCAGAAGAAGTGGAAATACCTGGCAAAGGTGGAAGAAAATTAGAAGATTTCCTCTTTTGATCATTAACATACTCTTTAAGAAACCATAGTGAAATCCCACCAAGAGCAACTGCTGGACCACCTATTGTAATAGCAGTTCCTAACGGCACTGTTTGAAGATTCAAAATTGCATCCATTTACTCTACTTCTGTTCTCAAAAAACCACAAGAACAGCAGGAGAAATGAAAATCCTCAAGCTGAAAACTGAAAGTATAAAGAGAATAGTAAGAAGAAGCAGAGTAAAGTTGGTAAGTACGGCTATGCATGGAATAACAAGTGTCGATATAAACAAGAAAGTTCTTACCTTTTGGAACTTGATACCCCCAGAAACTGATGAACAAGAAGACAGAGAGAAGGGTCTTTGTCGTATACTTAACTTGAGTTATGGATCGAATATACCAATCTTATTAATTATCATAAAAAGTTGCAATATTTGGAGGTTTCTTTACAGGTATAGCAATCAAATAAAGGTAAAACAGAGACCATCTTGGACGATCATTGTTGTTGGTGGTGGGTGTTTGGACTGGCTAGACATGTTCTGTCCCATTGGCGTGTTTGTGTGTGCGCATATTGTAATAGATATATATGTATCGCCTTTATCTAAAAAAGGTAAATTGGATAAGTAGATGCACAGTCAAACCTCTCTATAACAATCTTGTTTTTTCCGAATATTTTTGGATGTTATAGCAAAATATTATTATAGAGAACATATATCATAACATAATATGAAAATTAATTCCGAAAAAGTTTGTTTTTATAGTAAAATATTGTTATATAGGGATGTTGTTTTAGAGAGGTCCGACGGTATATTATAACTTAAGGAGTAAACAACCTAAACAGTATTTAGTGCTAGTGACTTGATGCGATTCCAAAAGTTGCATATTGAGTAGTGATGCCTCAGTGTGATTTTATGTAACTTGATATGGCCTCACTTATGGTATACTCCATGGTAAAAACTTACCGGTATCATATGTTTACGCTAATTCCAGTTAAGTTAACTATGAGAGATAAATAAAAATTTATTACGAGTTTTAAGTCTATTAAAAGTTTTAATTTTAATAAACAAAAAATTTAAATAGGTAGAGAATTGGAATTACCAATGTTATCATTTTCTGGCATTCTGCATCTTGTGTCTTCGTACTTTTATTTCTCTGTTAAAGATGAAAAAGTTTTTCTGAAAGTTAGCATGTGAAGAAGAGGAAGTAGGGGGTTACTTATATAGAAGAGGAGAGTAAACAGCTGAAAATTGTGAAAAATTACTAGAATTTACAAGGCTCTGAAAAAAATAATAAAAATTGCGATTATTATAATACATTCAAAAAAATTATTTAATAACGTATCGTTAAGATTTATTGAAAATAGTTAGAATATTAAGTAAGTAGTATTATTTTGACATTATTGTTTAAGATTATGTGCATAACAAATGGAAGTTAGTTATGATTATAGATCATTAATTATAGTTAAATAAGGTGACAAATATTATTTATTTATTGGCTTGGTATAAACATCAGTAAATTTTTACCTCTACTTCATTATAGTATTTGTGGGAATTGGAGAAAATAAGGTTTAACACGATTCAAATCCGTTTCTAATGTCGTAAAAGTAATAAAGAGAAGAAAAAGCTCCCCTCAAAAATTATTAACTTGTAAGTAGCTTAAATTCTATAGTAATTTATTCAATTGTCAACTTTACACATTCACTATTCAAGCAAAGTGCGAGTTTTCTAATTCCTCTTTGATGTACATTTTTATGCTCGGTTCAAATTTCACAGAGGTCAAAATATTAGATAATTTTTTCTTATTTGTCCAAATTTAGCTGAATAGAATTACCCGGATGAGAGATAGCGTATGCTCCATAGAATTAGCCAAGATTCTTCTCATTTTTTCAAACTTAGGTACAAAGAGTTACTTTGATGGGAGATAACGATATTCCATAAAATTAATTGAAGTATGCGCAAGCTGGTCCGAATATCATATTTGTCACTTATCCGGTGACTAATTGAATGCTTTAATTTTTCTAATTTCTCAACTATGCTATTCGATTTTGTCATCTAAATCCTAATTATGATCTGTATTAATATCTCTTTTCCAAGTAAAATTGGCCCTTTCTAATCAATTGGAAATTTGGAACTTTTTCGACACCTTGGATCTAATTCATAACATCACAAGTATTGTACTTTCTTTCTTCACTTGACCAACGCGCCTTGATTTCCACGTACGATTCACAGCGCTCAAACCATTGCAGAAACGGAACATTTTGTTCTGCGTGTAACTCACGCTTCATCTCACAATGGGTACTACAGGAATTTCACTCACCCCCGACCCCCGCCAGCTCCCTCGTGTCATTTCTCTATGCAGAAATTGGTACTCCAATTTTCGTCTAAAATTTCTTCATTTTAGGCGTGAATTGAGTTTTCATTTTTCACGATTTTCAGTATTTGCTTTATGAATTTGATTACTTTGTGTTTGTTACTTAATTTTACATTCCCAGATTCAGAAATGACATTCTAAGAAAAATGGAGTTGAAGAAATTTTTTGGGGTTCTTTAGGGTTTTAACTTCAAAATTTAGGTTTAAGAGGGGACTAATACAGAGATGTGGGATGCAAAAAGGCCTCATTTTCTTGTGGGTTTTAACCCTTCAATCCAGTCTGAAACATTGGTAAGCATTAGTTGCTTCACAATTTGTTGGTACATTCCTGTTTGCTGCATTGTGATTGTTTTTTATTTAGCTGCTGTTTTAGTTAGTATTTTTTGTTGACTACTTTAAGCTGAAGGTAGTTCACTTAGTAAGCAATTATGTATACCTATATGAGTATTGGATGTGCTATGTATCAGACATTGGTTCATTTGATGTTTAAGTTTAACAAACTTTATAATCTATTCTAAACTGAGGTGTTAGCACTTAGAATGCAGTGGTTTACATAGCAATGAGCTACATAGGGGTAACTTCCTGTGGAGTACGTGGGCGGCCATATTCTTCTTGTTCCTAAAGAAAAGATTGGATCTAGATAAAGTACCCTTCAGTATCTGTTTTGTATGAACGTTTCAAATTACATTGCTCTTGAAACGGCTGGCCTCCTGCATTTTAAATGATGAAAAGATTTATTATAAGAATAGCTGAGGAACTTAGTCTTGTATTTGGTGAAGCTACAACTGGATATATTCAATGGGAAATAGAGCAGATGCCTTATCTGTGTGCTTGCACTTCTTGTGTTAAGTGTCGCCCATAGATATTCAGTGAGACGTATCATAGATGCCTTCCTGTGTAGACTATATTTATCTATGTGCTTGGCCTTCTTAACTCACAAGTTCTAAAGCATCAGCCTTCTGGAGGCGATGTATACATTTAGATGCTATGATTAGTAATATGATATGTATAATCGAAATTCGAAACCAAGCAGTTGACGAGTATTACTCCGGGGATAATTATTGGTATTTTCCATTGAGATTAATTGATGTAACATCCAGTGACGAGTTATGTTGTTGAAGTTATAGTCTTTCTTAAGAAACTAACTTACTTGATCTGTTTGGCAACATATTTAGCATTTTGTTGAAAAGACCAGATTGTTCAACTCTTGCAAAGTTCATTAACTGCTCTGAATTCTCTGTTGCAGAAAATTCCATCAAAATTCATTAAACATATGGAAGGAAGAGCTTCTGGAACAGCATTTTTGGTGGGTCCCAGTGGTAATTCTTGGCCTATGGACTTAATACAGCAAGATGATGGTTTATTCTTCCACAATGGATGGGCTTCATTTGTTAAGGATCACTGCCTTGAAAGTGGGGATGCTTTGGTTTTCAGATATGACGGTGATTTGCATTTCACTGTGCTAGCATTTGATGAAAGTTCATGTGAGAAGGAAGCTGCTTATAACGCTGACTGCAGTCAAGGAGCAACAAACTTGTACAATCTTGCTTTGAAAAAAAGAGACCGAGGAAACTCAGCTTTATTAGATTGCATTGTTGAAGGTGTTCCTAAGAAAATGCGAAGCACGCAGAGCCCTTCCGAATGCACAGCAGAAGACGCAGTTTGCTCAAATGGAAGAAGTTATGCTTCTAGCTTTCTGAATGAAATCGAGAATGCTGGAAATGCATCAAACAATACAGTTACCATTGCTGTGCCATCTCAAACAGAGATTGTCTGCAGTAACCCAGGTAAATGGTTAGATTATAGTTTATTATATTATTGTTGGCAGTTCGATTTTCTAGTTTGAGAAGTGTTGTTTGAGTTTGCCAGAAGTTTAATCAAGCCCAATTTGATGTTACAGTTCCTATTAATTATGAAAAGTCATTTACATTTTTAAGGAGCTAACAATTGCTACACTCTTTTGTAATTTATGCATCTTCTTGATGCCAGTAATGAAACCAATTACGTCATCAACAAAAAATTAATTATGAAAAGTCATTTACATTTTTAAGGAGCTAACAATTGCTACACTCTTTTGTAATTTATGCATCTTCTTGATGCCAGTAATGAAACCAATTACGTCATCAACAAAAAATTAATTATGAAAAGTAATTTAGTAAAAAACAATATTTCGCATTGAATTGCAACCGCCTCATCTAAAAGCTTTAGCTATTAGGGAGCGAGCACTTCTATTTGTATATTTAGGTTTGCAACAAGCTTCCACAGGTGTTTGCCTGATTCTTTTTCCTGGGTGCACGTTGGAACATTTTTCCTTTTTGCGTTCACTGACTAGTGAGACTTGAACTCAAGGTTTTTGTCTGATATCATGTTGAATTGTGTGACCATTTCATCTAAAAATTTAAATTGTTGGAGGAGACACTTATATTTTGATATATTTTAGGCCTTTATCACTTTGTAATGTAAGTTCTTATAGTGCAAAGCATTTTGTATACATTGTTGCCCTGCATTTCTATTACAAATTAACTTTTTTTTCTTTCTGTTTTCTTAATGGAAAGGAAATTCAGTTGTTAGCAACAGCTATATTACAAATTTGTTAGTTACAAATTTGGAAAATTTACTGCTATTTTGAATCTAAAGCAGAGGTGAAAACAGGCAATGGTACCTCCGAGGAACCTATGTGGTTGTCTGCACAAGAAGCAGAAAAGGTTGCCCGTTCGTTTACCTCGAGTTTCCCCAACTTTATGAAGGTTATGAAGAGGTTCAACGTTAGTGGTTCATACACCCTGGTGAGTAGGTCTTCTGTTTTCTCTAAAACAACATTTCTTGTGATTCTTGGTGCAACTACAAAATATTATGAGTAATCTTAGCTTCTGTAATGTATTGCCTCAACATTTCTTGCTATCAATGACTGCATTGAATGAGCTGTCATAAATATTCTTTGACAATAAGGAATGTTGTGGTTTAGGATTATGTGCAGCGTGGTAAAGTTGTTTAGCTTGTTATACTTTTGTGTGCCAACAATATCTGAACTGCTCACTGATGTTCCTATATTAGTTGCTGCATGTTTGTCCTTAACCTGCCTGTTTCTAATTGAATCACAAGGCTATTTTGTTGATGTTGCCATCTTTTTTGTTGTTCTTGTTGTTGACTATATTACAACAATCTAATCCA